TGCTGGTGCTACTTCCTGGGTCAGCGATGTTTGCCCACAGTCAGGACGCTTCTCACAGCCACAGAGGGTCAGCCCTGGAAGAAGCTCTAAAGACCACCTAGCCTAGCTGGTTGTTATTATTATTGTAAATATATTCTTATTGATTTCAGAGAAGAAGGGAGGAAGAGAGAGAGATAGAAACATCAATGATGAGAGAAAATCACTGATCGGCTGCCTCCTGCACGCCCCACCCTGGGGATGGAGCCCGCAACCCGGGCCTGTGCCCTGGCCGGGAATCGAACCGTGACCTCCTGGTTCATAGGTCCACCCTCAACCGCTGAGCCATGCCGGCCGGGCTGTACCTATATTTCTTGGTGAGCTCAGAGTGACTTGCCATTGAACAGCCCCCGGCGCTTTCTCCTCTCTCAGCATTTGGACGAGAGGATTGCAGCCCAGGGAGGCGTCGCAGGCACACGGAGGGGCAGGGGGCTTTCTCATGTTCCAGGTGAGGAAACCCGAGATGCACGGAGGCGACAGGATGGCCAAGGTCAGACAGGAGCCGAAGTGGAAGTGGACGAGTCAGCAAAGTCCGGGACGGGAAGGAAATGTGATGGGGGGAGGCGGGGTAGGGGGTAATAGATATACCGTCCAAGCAGAACCACGCGAATGTGCAGCGTAAATTCTTCAAATTATTAAAAAAAACACACATGCAAAAAAATTCCCCAATTGAAACCTAATCAGGAATGTATTGTGCAAGCTGCGACACTGAAGGTTGAGGCTTTGGAATTAATGCTGCAAATGTCCCTTCACCTGCCTCCTAAAATACAGCCAGCCCGGCCAGTGTGGCTCAGTGGTTGAGCATCGACCTATGAACCAGGAGGTCACGGTTCGATTCCCAGTCAGGGCACATTGCCGGGGTTGTGGGCTCGATCCCCAGGGTGGGGCGTGCAGGAGGCAGCCGATCCGTGATTCTCTCTCATCATTGATGTTTCTCTCTCTCTCTCCCTCTCCCTTCCTCTCTGAAATCAATAAAAATATATTTAAAAAATAAAAAGCGCTCTTCTCAGTGGTGCTGTTTTGTGAATTAAATGAGATAATGCCGGCAAAGCATTAAACATTGAGCTCAACACACAATGGACTCCGTTTCTGAACTGGTATCAGAAGCTTCCGGTTTCAAAATGGAAACCATAGTGAGCTAGAGAAAAACACTTTATAAAAGTTATCTATCCCTTTAAAACTTCTCCCCAAATCCCAAAGACTTGGGGGGTTGGGAAAGCAAGTCTGAGGGCTTTAAGGGAAGTGAATTCAGCGGAGGACAGTGGCTCCGCTTTGAGACATAAGAAGAAAGGGAAGATTAATTTTCTCCCCAACTTAAAATAGTGCCTTTGTTTGTGTAATTAAACTACCGCTTGTTTGTGAGACCTGGCAGACAGGCAACATGTGCACATCCCAAATTTGCAGTTGAACAAAATATGTTTTAAGTAAAGCAAGGAAAGCATGAATTTTAAGTCTGCTTGTTTAAATTACAGTAGGAGATGATGAGGAAGTTTCGAAAAGCTCTTCGGTTTTCTAAGGAGGACTCCAGGCTTCGAGTTCGTGAGAAGCTTGCCAGGAATTAATATCCATGGAGGCCGACACGGGTGCTCAGAAGCTCTGAAACCCAGGGACCTCCGGCCCCATTCACTCTGGCCCAGAGGCAACGAAGTCAGCCCTTACGATGTGAAGGGGGACTGGGGAGAGGACATCCTGTTCAAAAGAATACAGAGATTTAGAGCAAAAGTGCATATTTCTGCCATTTTCCTTGGCATGAAAGGAGTCTGGGAAGTCCTTTGAAAGAAACTCACAGAGCTACTGATTTCTGAGCCCTGTGTCATGTCAGTCTCCACCCCTCCTCCCTTTGTTTTCTCCGCTTTTTTCTTTTTTTAAGTGGAGCTGGGATTCCAACTCAGGAAGCTTGTCTTCAGAACCTTGTTCTTTTTTAAAATAGATTTTTGTTGATTTTAGAGAGGAAGGGAGAGGGGGAGAGAGAGAAAGAGGGAGAGAGAGAGAGAGAGAGAGAAACATCAATGATGAGAGAGAATCATTGATTGGCTGCTGCTTGCATGCCCCCTACTGGGGATCGAGCCCACAACCCGGGCATGTACCTTGACCGGGAATCAAACCGTGACCTCCTGGTTCCTAGGAGGATGCTCAACCACTGAGCCACACCGGCCGGGCACATCAGCTGCTGTTGATTGCAGCTTGTATGGAAGTGAAAGACGAACCTAGGTCAGTGATGGCGAACCTATGACACGCGTGTCAGAGGTGACACTCGAACTCATTTTTTGGGTTGATTTTTCTTCGTTAAATGGCATTATATATAAAAAAATAAATATCAAAAATATAAGTCTTTGTTTTACTATGGTTGCAAAGATCAAAACATTTCTATATGTGACACGGCACCAGAGTTAAGTTAGGGTTTTTCAAAATGCTGACACGCCGAGCTCAAAAGGTTCGCCATCACTGACCTAGGTGCAGGGCCCTACATTACCAGCGATGCCTTATCAGTGTTGCAGAGGTGCTGGTGATGGCTACACGGTACACGTCTAAATGTTTGTAGACGATTCCTTTTTAAACAGCAAGAGACAGAGGCCACCTGACCGGTGTACACGGCGGTCCCCAGCGGTCCCATGTGGCCACAAACCAATTAAGTCGCGCTCTCACTGAAATTGCTTTCTCAGCCAGGGTGGAGAATGATTGATCACAAGTCACACGCTACACGTGTTAGGCTGAAAGAGTTTGCAGGTAAATCTGGCCCCAGGCCACGGCCACTTCATCGCGCTGGCGGAAACGCCGAGTTGAGTGGCTCCGTGAGGGGGAAGCCCCTTCATTCTTGGCGCGGGGAGATCCCCCAGCTGGGTCTTGCGTTTGTCCACGCGCTCGGGGCCTGGAGGCAAGAGGGGGACCTGGTCTTCCTAGCAGAGCTGAAGAGGGGACTCAGCCTGATGAGCGTTCTCACCCCCTGTGGATCGTAGGAATCGCCAGTTTGTGTTTTTTTTGGCTGTTTTTTATTTTTCAATTGCAGTTGACACTCAATAGTATGTTGACATTTAATAGTATGTTGATATGTTGTCTATTCAGATAGAGCAGTGGGTAATACATTTACATATCTCACGACCAGTTGACACTCAATAGTATGTTGACATTTAATAGTATTTTGATATGTTGTCTATTCAGATAGACAGAGCAGTGGGTAATACATTTACATATCTTACGAAGTGAACCCACCTGGCACCATACATAGTTATGACAGTATTACTGGCTCTATTCCCTAGGCCAGTGATGGCGAACCTTTTGAGCTCGGCGTGTCAGCATTTTGAAAAACCCTAACTTAACTCTGGTGCCGTGTCACATATAGAAATTTTTTGATCTTTGCAACCATAGTAAAACAAAGACTTATATTTTTGATATTTATTTTATATATTTAAATGCCATTTAACAAAGAAAAATCAACCCAAAAAATGAGTTCGGGTGTCACCTCTGACACGCGTGCCATAGGTTCGCCATCACTGCCCGAGGCTGTACTTTTACTAGTACCTCCCCATGACTATTTTGTAACTGCCATTCTGTACTTCTTGCACCTTCTCCAACCGGCCCCCAAATTCCCTCCACTCTTGCCAGGCGGGGGTGGTGGTGGTGAATATATTTTTATTGATGTCAGAGAAGAAGGGAGAGGGAGAGAGAAGCATCCATGATGACAGAGAATCACGGATCGGCTGCCTCCTGCAGGCCCCACACTGGGGATCGAGCCCGAAACCCGGGCATGTGCCCTGACGGGAATCGAACCGTGACCTCCTGGTTCCTAGGTCATCGCCCATCCACTGAGCCAGGGCCCGATGGGCTTGCCAGGGAGTTTTGAACCAAGGAGACCCAGATGCCCAGGACTCGCCAGGACCAATGACTCTGACGCTGTGCAGGTGCAGCCGGGCATCTGCAGGTGCAACCAGGGCATCCCCCTTTGCAGCTGTGGCTGACTCCGAGGGGCAGGCAGTTGGAACCCTTGGCAAGGCCTCCTCCTGAGGAAGCTGCCGGGACCCATGCCTCCTTCAGAGTTGTCC